AGATTACTAGCTACAGACCGTATTCATCTACCGGGGCATTGTAATCATAGCTTGTGGTGATGAAAGGTCCTCCAGTTGATTGACCAAATTTTGTGACTCCGTGATACTTTCGACAAATAGAAAGACATCATGCAATGAACTTTGTTTAGTTAAATTGTGAAGGATGATCGAAATACAAGTACTCAAAAAATATGAGAACGAACCATGTAGTAGTAGTTTATGAACGAGCTGCCCTCTTTGTATGAACCGAGCTACGGAGAATGCCAAATCCTCGACGGGTCTCTGGTGAGTCGGACTGCCAAATTATGTAACCTTCATGCTAATTTCCTCGCCGGTTAGCTTCGATGTCAAACGAGTAAAGTAGCCACTTTAAGCTTCGGTCCAAATACGAGGTTTGTAAGGTTTGTTCGGAGAGAACTCGTCGCAATAAAAGCCGTTGCATGTATTGATCTGCCAAAAACCATAATACCGTCTACTTCTTAGTAAGATATATGTTTCCGGTCATCCCAAAGATTTTGGATTGCAATGACGTGCTTACCACAGGAGCGGGGGCATCTTTTTCCTTGGACATCACCCATGGCATGTTGGTGTCGAGCTCGGCAGCCACGTTCGCAGTCCAAATGACATAGTTATGCCCTGGGGCACTGAGCGCTTTAGAGTGTATCCGGTACTCGTTCTCAATCTCAATATGTGAATGCACACGATGCAGATTTGTTAGAATGAGGAATGAGAAACAACATGACGACACACCATTGTACCTGAGAGAGTATAATGAGGCCGCCCTGCAATTCCAACTGCTTTTCTGCCTTCATCATGTCGATGATCTTTGTAGTGAATCCTTTCATTGCCATCTAGGGAATGAAAGAAGTTTGTTCGAGACAATGTTATTCTAGCCCAGTTTAGTATTTCATTTTTCGATTTTTTTAGGCGAATAGTAGATATCTCAATTTATGTAATTAGAATAGAGCAATTAATAGCTTGAAGTTGAGGAGGCTAACGAGCAGGGTTAAAACTATCAGTTTATTTTGAATCTTAAATGCACTAAGTCGAGTGAGTCAACCTTGAATAACAAATACTTTAGTTCGCCCGGCTCCTTTAAAAGCTTAATTTAAAGACAATCATAAAAAATAAAATTAGTAATATAACCTTGAAAGGTTCATTGTTTGTCCTGAAGCTGATCTATTTGAGCCAAACTGGGAATTCCTGACTCAAAAACACTACCCAAATAATAATCATAAATGAATATATCAATTAATAACCACCCAAAGTTCCATTCAACGCAAACGTATGGGCCAATTCAAAGAAGAGTATAAAGCCCTGCTTTCTGAATTGTCTTCACAAATCTCACCACATCGTATTTACCTTCGAACGCGTACTGAAATCAAATACACAAACAACGTTCGATTAAAACATATAATCTAGAAATAATTGAAGCTAAAATAGAAAGAAGAATACTACTACTACAAAATTGGATGGAGTTGGATGATGACTATTCCAAAGAACATATGTCTCAATCACATCAAGTCCTCATTCTTTTCCCTTTTTTATCAGATCTTCCCACATATGCAATATATTACAAAAAAAACCAGAAAATAATGTATGCAATAAATTAAAGATTCCATCTTTAATTTAAATAGAAATTAAGATGATACCTCAGGAGTGCTTCTTGAAAAATGTATTGATCCTTAAATGAGGAATTTTCTCTCCTCATTCACTATAATAGTCTTTCTGTCGTAACTGACGTTGCTGCACTCTACTAGATTTAAGTTCCACTCAACAATGGCACCCACAACAATAATGCAGATGACTAAAAACCTATTTTGAACTCATTTCTGAAACTGAGAGTGAAATTACTAAACAAACAAAGTTCTTATGTATTGCCTCCCCTCAGATCGATCGAATTACTGGATATTTTAAGAACAAGATTAAATCTGGTGTTTTTCAAACAAAGGAAAGAAATGAAGCGACCGACAACAACGAGATAGTGGCGTCTCTATGATTATTACATTACATTAAATCTACGTTGTTGGTATTTCGTGTATGTGAAAAGAAGGTAATTAAAAAAATGCCATTTTTATATAAATAAGAAATAATAAAAAATCAATTCTTTTGGTAAATAATGGAAGAAAGGGAGAGACAAAAAATGGGATGGGGACAAAAACGCACAAAAACTCTAACCATAAATCATATATATAAGGAGACAGCTATAATTAAAATTCAGCACTACGTTTGAATAACACTCAATAAAATCACAAAAAGCACGCGATTACTATTGACAATATATAATTTATATTAATATAATACAAATACAACACATAAACTAACATCACATGATATAAACTCAAACAACACACGCAACAGTTAATTTTAACACATGACATACTCTTATACAACACACGTGATAGCTTTGAATTTCTTGTTTTCGGCAATATTGGGGATTTTTTGATGAATTAAAGACTGGATTGGATCTTGGTTTATGGAAAATGATCAGATGTATAATTTATGAAAATGATATTATTGTAGACTCTAAAATTCTATATCATAATTATTTTTATACTCTTTGACTGCTAATTTCCAGATTAAACACAGGAATTTTAAGTTATAAAACTAAACCAAGAAATACTTGGTAAGTCTGGTTTATCGTGAAAGCAGGGAAGTGGTTCGCTAGCGAGGGAGCTAAAAGCTATAATGCAAGAAAGTAAATAAAGTTGTAAAGATAAGCAGGTAACAGTAGTGAGCGTAGTGACAACTTGCGAGTGGGGATACTGTGAAAGCGTGGGTGAGCGGAGCGGTAGGGATGATAGGTGAACGGTATATATATATATATATATATATAAGAGATGGTTGGCGAGCGGTGGTTGATAGTGATAGCAAGTATGCGAGTGGTGGTATTAAATTTTCAGATAGAGTGTACAAAGATGTTTGTGTGTGATCTGTGCATTTCTTAGTGGCTAGATTTTCATGAAAAAAATGAACGGATAATGAAAACAAATCAGCGAAGAATATATGTATATTACAAAATGATAGAAGAAATGCATGTGATCATACTTGTTCATTTAAATCAGATTCTTGCCTTGCTGGTACTTGATCTTAAGAGATTTATAACAAGACTTCAATGACACTCAGATTCAAAACATTATAAGCAAGAAAAACTACTGTCACTAGACATTTCGGAGACTTGATAGACAAGCGCTTATGTCTAATTAATAATTCTAATTTTTTTTTATTAGTGGTTTTACCCTTCTAATACTCAAAATAACAATTAAGCAGGTCGACAAGGCTTTTGTATATCTAACTACATTGAACTATCTAAAATCTATTAATGAATACAACACAAAATTAGGCTTTGATAATCAATTATTCTGAAAAGATTTCCACATGTCAAGATTCCAAACTTAAACAATTAAATAAAAACTTGAATTTGGGGGATGAATTGCACATGGAGAATTCATGATATTTGATTAACAACTACAAAAGTAATAATCTATATTATGAAAACAGGAAACAAAGTAGTAGTTAAAGCAATAAATCTGCCTATGAAAGCAACTAAACTGGGCGGTCATGGGAGGAGAGGATATCCACTCCCTTGACCTCCTCTAACTAAGAGAAATCTCTTATAGAATTGGAGCTCTCGGAAAATGAACATAGTAAAAGAAAAGTAGTATTTCTTCGTAGTATGTGATATTTTTACAAATGAAATTTAGCTCTATTTATAGCTATTATGGATTGGAAGTTGGTAGCAGTTGAGAAGTTAAAGGGCAGGAATTAGGAAATGTTGTGGTAACCGCTGGGCAATTAGGCTCGTTGGACTGAAGTGATTGGTCACAGATCTTTCTCACTTGCCTCGCTAGACTTGCTTGGCTGGAGGGCATCGGTGCAACTCAAGCGGTGCTGTCGTTGCTGGCGGGTAATTGAATGGCCGACCACTAGGAGATCAAAACTTGGAAAAAAATTGCTACTTCACAATTTCGCTTGTCAGCGGTGGATATCTGGTTGGACTGGCTTGGGCTCGGAAAGAGCGTCGCTTGCCACGGCTAGCTGCACTTTCGTTGGTCTTATGTGCTTAGAGAACTTATAAGCTAGAACATCACTTAAAAAGGCTAAAAACATCAACAATCTTCACGAGTGGGCTTTGGATCATATCAAGCGAAACAAATCAATAAAGTATATCATAATTCAAATATTGTGATTGTTTTCACATAAAAATTAAGGAAATACGTAGTTTTATCAAGCAATGAATATGCTATTATTTGGAGTTATCAAACCTTTTCACACAAAACCTTTGTTCGTCTCGAACAAACTCAATTTCATGAATAGAGAATTAACCCGTTCAAAGCAGTCAAGTACTACATAAAATAAGTGTCGTGGTTGTGAATAAAGTGAATCTCAAATATAAGCAATTGATCCTTAAACATTCAAAACTTGTCAATCTAATTTCACACAATTTAAGTTATCCAGGCATAATCAACTTGTTCGTTTGGCAGAGATTCTTTTTGATAAGGTGCTTCAGCTGAAAAGTGCAGATTTTTTTTTTTTAATCACTCATTGTATTTCGCAATGGGTCACAAAATTTCAAACATTGTGTCTACTCATGACCTTATTTACTTTTTCATCACTGCCAAAGGACTTTTCAGTCCTTTTAATGATAAGTCCTCGTCGTTTCTCTTACATCGCTTCTCAAACCATATTTAAGGACTTCTTATTTCAATGCCTCACATAGACGAAGTCGAGAGACAATTTGCTTGCCCTACCGAGTATGAAAAAATTGAAATGAATGGGGGGCACTAACCTTTTCAAGTCATATAAGTGGGTACTTGGTTTAACTCAACATTCATATTATTGACTAAGTTAAAGGAAAAATTACTAAGTTTAGCGCTTGCAAGTGATCCAACTCTACTCTAAAACTTATCGAAAGCCTAACTCATCAATGTATTAAATAAATTTAAAGTAATTACAAATGTTTACAATTATAATAGGCATACAATATTGATAAATTTAACTTGTTACCAAAAGCAGTCGTGTCATTGATCATAAAAAATTTATGTATAGGCCCACCATTATTACAAAAATCAACACTCGTATTGGGGAAAGGACTCCCACTTCTATATTACACTTAATCATCAAATACTTCACGTCCCAGTTTTCCAAAACCATCAAGAAGCCGTTACAATTTCTCTTCAATCTTCTTTTCATGCTTGACCAAATCCATGTTCAGCTCTATCAAAATGGCATTCTGGCTGATCAACACTGCATTACTATTTAGTAGATCGTTCGGCCCATGCATCACGTTTTCCAGCATCATCCCATCACGACAGCCTTGGTTTCTAGTTTGGTCACTCTAGCATCTTTGGAAGGAGCCAAATGTAGAATATGAGCGGTATTGGTTTCTATTGCAACGGTCTTCTGATTTACAGTGGCCAACTAGTTCCCTCTACGTGTTTTATTGTCATGAATTTTTTGTACACGAAATGGCTGGTCAGCAGCTCATCAAGGTCATCCAGTCGTTTCCCTAATGATTCAAACGCCATTCAAGGTGCAGAAGTGCTTGCCTCAGCAGGTGCGGAAGACTATCGCGCAGATTCAGTTAAGCTGATTTCCACTAGCTCTTCAAATTTGTTTTCCTCAGGCTCAATTAATGGCTCTGGGTGGTTTCCTTTTATACAACCATTTTTCATGCTGCTTCGTACTCCATTTGTTTCATCTCTGCTTTCGCAGTTTGGAAATATCCTTTGTATCACAAGTGGAGTTCGGTCAGCGGCTTTCACCACTTTAATAGTTTCACTAAAAACTTCATCGTCTTTTGCTTCTTCCGGTCGCACTGCCGCTCCTTTTCAAGTCTCTCTACTTTAGTGAGAAACCGAGCTTATTGTTCCTTCAATACCTCTTCCTTTTCCTCTTCATCCTCCTTCTCTTTAATTATTTTGTTCGGTCAAATTTTGTAGAGAACAGAGTCAAAGATTTTGCTGGTGTCGCATCCTTAGGCGTCTGAGGGATGTATCTGATAGGCTTTTCTTTAGTTGCCCCAATAGTTGTTTTCTCCAAAGTTCATGGTGACACCTGCAAAATAGGCAAGTAGTTATTACTGAATCAACCCTCATGGTTTCATTGGTAGGTTCAACGGTGGTGGCACCAGGGACCTCAGCGGCGTCTTTTTTGTAGGTTTCAACCATCACGTCTATGCCACTGATGGTTTCTTCAGTGAAAATAGTCTTATTCTCCTCTTCTTCTCCAGTAGCAGCTGGGGCTCTCCTATCCTCCGCTGGTTAAATGGAATGGGTTCATCGCCGAATGGATTAAATTGCCTCAATAGGGTGGGTTCTCTCGGCTGACCAGCTGGGACGGTTGTTGGTGATGATCTCTTAGGTTGGGCAGCGGGCTCTCTGATAGATATCCCCTTCCCCAGTTGGGTCAATGAGATCTCATCGTCCTTATCTTTCTCCACAACCTTGCTATTTCCTTTCTCCTTTCTCGTCAGCTTATGTGGTGGGCTCTTTGTTTTGTGGGCCATCATTTTTACCCTTGACTTTTTGGTTGTTGGCTCAAGAGCGAGATCATTTGTCAGCTTGGATCTCTTTTCTCTCTTCGTATCAGCTGCAGTCTTCTACTTCTCTGCTTGCTTTGCTCCATTATCTCTCCGGGTCTCTTTCCCGTGGAACACTTAGCTTGGAACTCAGTGGCCTCCTCCTTCTCGACTTCTGAAGCTTTATTGAAAATAGCTATTTCTGAGTCTAGGCCATCGGTGGCCTTTTCTACTCCTTCTACTTTTTTCTCCTCCTCCGCTTCTCGGATCAACTCCTACCCCACAACCTTCAATTTCTTCTTCAGGGGTTGGGAAGGGACGGACCCTTTCTTTTTCCTTTTCTTTTGCTTAGGGATTATGCTAAATCCTCCAACCATTTCTTATGAAACACTGTTGGCTACTGCGGATATATTGTTAGATCAACGGCTAAAGTGGGCAAATCCACACCTGCCCTTCGGCATAGCTCTGTAACCAAGGTCCCATGACTCAACGTCCTGTCAATATCAACTCGATTCCATATGTTCATGCAGATTATAGTGCCCTAGTCAATATCAGTCTTCTCTTCCAAAAGGAAGCATAATGCCACTAGATACTTGGGTTTAATGTCGGTTGTGTGAGAATTGATCATTATCCGGCTCAACGACCATTTTACCCATTCTCTTTTCTCCTCATGCACTGATGCAATTTTCAAATTTCGCTTCTTGTAGACTGGCGTGGTGGCCAAAGGTGGTGTATAGTGACTGCAGCTCCATTGAGTTATACTTATCAGTTGCCTCCACTTTGGCCTTCATTTTTCCCATCGCATAGTGGAATGGCGAGCCAAGAACTAGATTGATCTTTCTTGCAGAGCAGTCCACCCATACTCTTCGGACATAAACATTTTTAACAATAGCGGTAGCTTCGGCAGTGGCTTTCTTGGTTATCGTTTCTACGCAGAAGACTTTCATCTTTGTCTCAGCAAGCTCTGCCTTAATAAATTCCTTTTCAATTTCTCTCTCCCAGAATTCCTTCAGCTCTATAATACTCAACCATCAGTCGTCCACTGGATATCTCTAAGCGGTTTCGTTTGTGTACTCGAACCTCAGATAATCATCCAGGAACATTGAGATATAATCACATAATTCTACTGATTTTAACCTCCTTAGGTTAGCACATTCTTTGTCAGCTCCAACAGCCTCCTCTGTTAGTATTCCTTGGGTGGTGTTGGTTCAACCAACTTTTCCCCCGAACGGATATCCACCACCTTCTTCCCGTCAGTGGACAATATCCTCTGAACTCCCATTTTGATTTTCTTATCAATCTTCTCAAAATCCTTTCCCACAATATTTCTCACTAGCTTTCTGATAAGATCTATGGTTCTCACTGTCGAACAACCTAGGGTTTTTCCAATTCACTTTTGAAACAGAGCAGAGACAGAATAAACTCAAACCTACATTATCAATTCAAAATTGACAAAAACTTAAGAAAATAGGATGATATATTGCTAATCTAACTGATTTAAACCATATTCCCTCATCCTACAATGAAAAGAAAAATGTTTACAGAGAGCTTCGTTGTGAAAATTGGTGAAAATCATGAATCATAAAATCATCAACCGTGAGTTTAAAATTCCGAAGAACCGTGAGTTTTTTCAATGAGAATTTTTTGTTTTGTGTTATTGAGTATGAAATCAGATCGAATTGAGGAAGAAAAATAGTAATTAAACCTTGGTAAACCTAGATCTTACATCAGATTCTCTTAAAATTGGCTTGAAGGACTTTTATTTTTGAATTCGGAGATACAGAGAAATGATTGTTTCTAAAGGTTTTTGAGAAAATTACTGCTAGGGTAAGATTGGGAATGACTTAGTGGAGGGATATTTATAGTGTAGAGGTGCTCGTTTATTTGGGTGGACTTGGAAACGATGAGTGGGTTGGTCACTACTTTGATATTAGTATATTATTATAAAGGCATAAGAGTTGGTTATTGGGTGGGGCGAAGGGGTAAAGCACAACTCTTAAAATTCCTAAGTGTAACCAGACAAGCGATAAACAGCGGTACTGGACAAGAGAACAATGCTCCTTCAGCATATATCAAGATGAGATAAACGGGGTGAAGAATGGCTTGGGTCAGACTTAGACTTAGAGGATTTAAATCTAAGTACGTTATTCTACAAATACATAAATAAAGCAGTAAATTCTAATCTAGTAAAGAAATTAAATTTCTAACTAATCCATATCAATAAACTAGTCTAAAGGAAAATGGTAAGGTGCCCGTTGACGAGGGGGACTTCTACCTTTTTATACTGAACTTACCTAATCTAGAAAAGTGGTAAAACCATCACTGATGATCGATGAGGCTAAGTAAGGAAATAGTAAATTCTATCTACAAAAACGGGAATCTAAAATAAAAAAAGTTCTAAATTATTTTGGGAAAAGCGATAGAAAGCTAAATAAAAAAAAATAAAGAAAGAGTATACTTTAGAGCGGATATAAAATTAGGCAAATATGGAGTTAGGTTCAATTTGATCATAGAGCAAGCTACTAAATTTCCAACAGGTTAATTTCTGCTTTGGCTTGTTGCAAAACATGCCCTTTGATATACGATTTCAGACTCGCTCCATTGAAAATGAAAGAATCTTGTTCCGTTATGGAATCTACATCACTGATTTTGATGGCTCCGTTGGGCAGAACTTGTTTGACTATATACAGCCCAGTTCACCGAGATGTTAAGTTTCCTATGAATAAGTGAAGCCTAGAGTCATATAGGAAGACCTTTGAACCCTCAATGAATTATTTCATTTTCAACTTCATGTCATGATAGAATTTCATCATTTCTTATATAGCTTTTTGTTCTCATATGCAAGATAGCGGAACTCGGTCAAGTCCAATAGACGAGCGGTGCGTTTCTCCTGGGCTAGCAGAAGATCAAAGTTCAAATACTTAGTAGCCTAATACGTGCGATGTTCGAGTTCTAGTGGTAGATGACTAGCTTTTCCATACACAAGTTGATAAGGTTACATCCCAATTGGCATCTTGAAGGTTGTTCTGTATGCCCACGGTGCATTGTCCAATTTCTCAGCCCAATTCTTGCAAATCGTGTTGACTGTGGTATGGAGGATATGCTTGATTTCTCTGTTCAAAACCTTTACTTGACTTTTTGCTTAAAGATGATAGAGAGTAGTTAGATGTTGGTGAACACCATGCTGCTGAAGACATGCCTGCAATGCTTTATTCACAAAATGGGTATTTTCATCGCTGATGATAGTCCTAGGAACCCCAAACCTTGGAAACAACATATATTTGAGGAAGTGGATAAATGAGTGAAAATCATTTTAGTGAGCGTTTGCGCTTCGACCCACTTGCTCACGTAGTCCACAACCAATAAAATGTAAAGCTTTCCATTGGAATTAAAAAATAGTCCCATAAAATCTATTCCCCAAACATTGAATATATCAATAAACAAGATTCCAATCTAAGGCATCTCAACTCTCTTCGAGATAGACCATAATATCTTACATTTGTCGCAAGATTTGGAAAATGCATAAACATCTTTTTGTAGGATTGGTCAATAAAAGTCTGAATGCAAAAGTTTGGCAGCTATCCGTTGACTAACAAAATGCCCTCCTACGTGGGCTCTGTGACACTCATCCAAGATTAACAGGATCTTTTATTCAAAAACACCTCGAAAAATAATCTCATCTGAACTGATGTTGAAAAGGTATGACTCATTCAAAAAATAATCCTTTGCAAAACTTAGAAAACACTTTCTTTTCCTCTGAACAATATAAGCAGGGAATTATCCTGTAGCCAGAAAATTATCCAGATCTACAAACAATAGCTCCTTACCCTGCACAAGGTTTCTCATTAGAAAAAAATTCATTTATACCTGGGGATGTGTCCTCTAGCTGTGTCAATCTACTTAAATGATTAGCTACAAAATTCTCTATCCCCTTTCAATCCTTGATCTCAATATCAAACTCTTGGAGTAGTAGAACCCAATGAATCAAGCGGGCCTTTGTCTTCTTCTTCTTCTTTATCAATTATTTTATTGTTGCATGGTTTGTGTGAACGATAGTCCTGCTCCGGATCAGATACTCTCTAAAGTTCTCAAAAATAAAGACGATAGCTAGCAACTCTTTCTCAGTTGATGTGTAATTTCTCTAAGCGGAGTCCAGCGTCCTACTAGCATAATAGATGAAATTCAGCTTGGACTCCATATTTTGTCCCAAGACAGAGCCAACGGTATAATAACTTGCATCTGTCATCAACTCGAATGACTTGCTCCATACTAGTGCTGAAATGATAGAGGCAATTGTGAGTTTTTCCTTCAAAATTTGGAATGCCTCATCACACTGGCTTGTCCACTCAAACGTAACATATTTGCACAGTGATAGAGGCAATGGTGAGTTTTTCCTATCATAATTTGGAATGCCTCATCACACTGGCTTGTCCACTCAAACGTAACATATTTGCACAATAGTGCGGTCAGCGGTTGAGTGATTTTGCTGAAGTCCTTGATAAACCTTCTATAGAAACCAGCATGGCCAAGGAAATTTCGCATCTCATTCTTGGGCACTATCATCTTTTCTATCACACTAACTTTTGATCTGTCTATCTCTATTCCGGTGAGCGAGATCTTGTGGCCAAGAACAATTTCTTCATTCACCATTGAATGACACTTCTGTCAGTTCAAATCAGTCTCAATACAGCAAAGTAGCACTTTATCCAAGTTATTTAGGCATCGAGAAAATGTCTTGCCATATAATGAAAAATCATCCACAAAAACTTCAATGCACGAGTCCAAGAGATCACTAAAAATGTGGTACATGCATCGTTGGAAGGTGGTTACGGCATTGCAGAGCCCGAACGGCATCCTCATGTAAGCAAAAGTACC